AACCAATCAAAACTCACAGAGGCCTATCCATACACTTTTCTGACCCTAGAATTTGCTTTTCTTAAGCCTGTTGACACTAAAACATCTGCTCTAAAGAACTCCACTTTGTATGTTTCATTGTTTTAAAATACTGTGTGTTTTCATTGACGGATCCATCATCCATTCATTTTTAGACGCTCACGCACAGAGCTCTTTTGCCGTGATACCCACTTTTAAACTACATATCAGGATGTCTTCACGTGCCACTTCTTTGATGTAGCATCACTGTACATCCTGTAGCAATGTTACACTGCAAGCCGCAGAAAGCAGTAAACAGAACTGAGAGAAGGAAGGATCTGGCTGTCAGTGCAAATGTAAATAGCAGCTGTTCTCCTCAAACTGTTTTTAAAACTACCACACAGTGAGAGCTTTGATTAAAAGAGGACAAACCATCAAGAACCAGGCTTTAGCACAAACTCAAGGGGCCTGATGCCATTCTCCTGTTTGTACTGTTTATCTGTGTTAGTGATTCTCAACTTGTGGGTCATGACCCCTTTGGGGGCGAACAACCTTTTCACAAGAGTTGCCTGAGACCATCAGAAAACACAGATATTTATATTACGATTCATAACAGTAGCAAAATTATAGTTATGAGGCAACAATGAAAATAATTGTATGGTTGTGGGGTCACCACAACATGAGGAACTGTATTGGAGGGTTTCTGCTTAGGAAGATTGAGAACCACTGATCTATGTAATAGTCTCTGCTAAAATGTTACTTAAATAGCTGGACTGGTGTGAATGATGGATTGTGCAGCTACTCTGATATATGCAGCTTGGCTTGCTATATAAAGCTGGAAGGTAGCATGGTCCACCCTGTCATTGTGCCGGTTTGAAATGACCTTTACCTCTTTCTTAAGAACTGCACGTTCATCCTCTGGTCAGGTGCAATAACATTCATTATTTGATGGGTCCAACTTTTTATCAAGTGTGAAAAATTTCACAAATGATTCATTTTTGTCATTTTTCTAGTAAAAGTGAGCACTCTGCATGGCATGCTATGTCCTTTAAAAGAATCTTTATTTCATTTCTTCAAAATATGCATGTATCTTCTTCCTGAATCAGTTAGGGTGATAAACCATTAATAATAAACTTTTTTTTTTTCGAGACAGAGTTTCCCTGTGTGGTTTTGGTGCCTGTCCTGGATCTTGCTCTGTAGACCAGGCTGGCCTTGAACTCACAGAGATCCTCCTGGCTCTGACGTCTGAGTGTTGGGATTAAAGGCACGTGCCACCACTGCCTGGCAATAATCAGTACTTTTTAAATGCTGCTTGTTCGTTATAGCATTACTCAAAACAAGGGCCCCCATCAAATCGTGAGTATATAGAGATCCTTTATGTTTAGTCATAGCGTGTCTGTTTTAAATGGAGAGAAACTTGATCTTTCCATTGATTGGTGGTGGTGTGGGGGGCATGCCTTAGTCAGCGAATTCACAAAGTGCTGTCTGTGCTAATAGGCTTGTTTCATTGAGACCTTTCCCCCCACTGAGTTAGGCTCTTTGCAAATCCGAGAATAGGTAATCTCATATTGTGAGAAGGAGAAAAATGTTTGCAATATGCATGATTAGATGAGAAAATCACTGGTAATATTAGCATCTATCAATAATAAATAAAATGTAAATATACTTGCATCAATGAAGCTGCCTTTTTTTACATTGATTGATAATTGCCCACTTTGAAAATTCCAAGTAGGTTCCCAACTACATTTTCCAGACACAGCAGGTTGTTCTTTTCTGAATGTTCTTTTTCTGAAATAGACTAAAAGGAGCCCTCCAAACAACAACAACAACAAAAAAGTCTTTCTTTTTATTATTTTAGCTTTAATTGTGTGTGGCTATGTGTAGGGATGGGCATATGAGTACAGGTGTCCAAGGAGACAAGAAGAAGGTCTAGGATCTCCTAGAGCTGGGATTACAGGCAGTTGTGAACCACCCCATGTGAGCGCTGGGAAGCACACTTGCATCCTCTGTGAGAGCAGTGTGCACGCTCGACTGCTCAGCTGCTTCCCGAGTGCTCCCCCAGTTCATATTTAGCCAGTAGACACAAAGCAAATAAATGAGGGTAAAGGTGTATCCCACTGGTGTACATGCTTGCCTAGAATGTGCACAACCCCGACTTGGTGATACTCTTCCTGCCTCTCCTTCTCTCTCACCCATCATATAGGCACATCACACCAACAAATCATGATTAAAATGTCCCGAGTCTTGTTTCTTTTATTTAGCACACTTTAGGGGAAAAGTTTGAAAAGACTAAATGTAAAACCTCAGGTAGTGATATACAAACTGATATTTTGGAGAGATGCATGTAATGTATTATTTCCTCTGAAAATAACATGGATAAAGGTGTAGTATAATGAATAGCCAAGTAATAGAGCACACTTAATATATGAAGAATGGGCATGTGGGTTTTTATTGTAAAATTCTTTCAACTTTAATCTGTGTTTTCAAAAAGTATGTCTGAGAAAAAATTTATTAGAATTTTTTAGTTATAAGAAACGTTAAGAACAATTTTTTTTATGGGAACCTCTTCCTAAATATTAGTTTCTCAGTGTTCTGTGATTCTCAACTGCCTTTCCATTTTTTAGAGCTGTTAACTTTGTGAATATAAATTTCTCAAACTGAGAGGCTTATTTTTAATAGAAAAACCATATTTTACTAATTGATGTCACCTAGCCTCTCTCTCTCTCTCTCTCTCTCTCTATATATATATATATATATATATATATATATATATATATATACATATATATATATATGTATATATATATATTCATATGTATAAATGCCTCTCCCTCATAATCTACCATGTGAGCTGTCTTTATGCACTCTTGGAGTTCACTCATCCACTAGTCTGTTGTCCTGTGAGCACACAGCAAGTTCAAGTCTGTAACTGCTTAGAGTGTTACATTGGACAGTTATTAAACAAGGGTCACATAGTATTGTCATCAAGCCTGATTTTTTTTTAACTTCACCATGGAAAAGTTTGATTAACTACATGGGTATTGGGTCACCCCCACCCCATGATTATCACCTTCTCTGAACCTCTGTAAAACACTTTAATAATCATTTGATATTTGTAATATCACTTCTCCTATCCCTATAGCACCAATGCACATGGATAGGCTATATATAGTGCTTATAACGATGTAATGAAAATCATAAACTGCTGTTGTAGTGTTCAATTCCTTCTTATTGTTATGGTTGCTAGTGTTGCCATGACTGTCTCAATGTGTGTGTGTGTGTGTGTGTGTGTGTGTGTGTGTGTGTGTGTGTGCACGTGTGCACACACATGTGTGAATAAATGCTAGATAGAGGTCAGAGGACAATCTTGTAAAATCTTTTCCTCCCTCAACCTTTATGTTGGCTCCAGGGATTGATCTCAGGGTTTATGTGGCAAGAATTCTATCCACTGCGTCATCTTGCCACCCTCCTCATCCCTGGTTTTTAGCCCTGCTGGCCCCAAACTTTCTGTGTAGCTGTTTGGTTTTGTGATGAGCTGGCAATCAAACCCAGGGCCACATACCCACTAGGGATGAATTCTATCAACTGAACTACATCCCCAACCCAGAGACAGCAGTGTTTTGAGCCCCACTTTGTCTTCCCTATTACACCCGATTAAGACTACCTTGAGCCGGGCGGTGGTGGCGCACGCCTTTAATCCCAGCACTCGGGAGGCAGAGCCAGGCGGATCTCTGTGAGTTCGAGGCCAGCCTGGACTACCAAGTGAGTTCCAGGAAAGGCGCAAAGCTACACAGAGAAACCCTGTCTCGAGAAACCAAAAAAAAAAAAAAAAAGACTACCTTGAACATGGGCTGGAAAAATGACTCAGTGGTTAAGAGCACTGGTTATTCTTCCAGAGGACGCAGGCTCAATTCTCAGCACCCACATGGCAGTTCACAACTGTCTCTTAACTCCAGTCCTAGGGAATCCAATACATCACACAGACATACATGCACTGCCAAACACTAATGCACATAAAAAAAAAATAAGATTGCCTCAAATAAAGTTGGCCCTTAGTCCATATGTTGTAAAGTTTGATTTTATGTTTGTGTGTGGGCATGCACTTGCTCACATGGGCAGGTGTGTTGCTGGGGATCAAACCTCGTGCCTTGTGCATGGTAGGCAAGCAGCTTACCACTAAACAATTCTCACTCTGAGAGTTGGATTTTTAAATAAAGCTTACCTGTCAGGTAAGATTTTTGCTTAACTGATTTTTAAAAACATTGGCCATTACACCCCAGACTGTTCTCCTCCAGTAATTACTACTTTCTTGGTAAGATACTCTTACCTTACTTCTTAAAGTTTTACTTGCACTCAAGATTTTGTGGACAGACAGAACCTGTTTGTGATTTTGCTATGTTTTACCCTCTCTAAAACACTATAATGTTTCAGCCTTCTGGAAGGCCTGACATTGATAGTACTATATACATAATAAACTGTCTCTAACATTGTAGTGTGCAACTGATATAATTACTTCATTTTGCCAAGTGTATCAATTTTTAAGGTCTTTTGAACCCATTGCTGGATATTTTGATCGGTGTCATGGAAAAGCCATCAGAATGGCTCCCCTATAGATTATAGACATTGTGCTGAGCAGCAACAAAAAGTTACATCCAAGAAGTTTTTCCCCTGGTGCTTGTCGAGAAGAATCTTGGAAGTCATTCCTCTGTAATGTCAAGAGACATTCAAAGGAAAGAGTCAAAACTCCCGAGTCACCGGGTTTATTCTCTTTCTTCTCAGTTTTCCACAGTTTTGCCTAGAAAGTTCTCTGTTCCTTTGTTTCCATCAGTTTCCTCACAGATGACATTCCCTCCCATTTTTTTTTTTCTTGCGTTGCTCAAATTGGATAGAAACAAAATGATGCATTTGAACACAGCCATATGTGAGAGTTGGGAAAAATCCACAGCATTGCTGTTCTAAGGTAGGATATCGGTGAGACACTGACCTGTGCTTTCTGCCAACAGGTGAGGCTTTGCACTTGGCTCGAGATTTTGGCTACACATGTGAAACAGAGTTTCCAGCCAAGGCAGTAGGAGAACATCTCGCCAGACAACATATGGAACAGAAAGAACAGACAGCTCGAAAAAAGATGATCCTAGCGACCAAGTAAGTGCGGTGGAGATGCCTCTCTGGACCTTCATCCCCAGTTTTCCTGTTTTCTTTGATTGAAGACAGTTTAGAAGTCACGAGTTCTCTAAAAACAGGGGCTCACACTCCAGCATCTAAATAGACTGATCAGGACTCTCCACCATTTGTACCAAGGCATCAAGGGTCATGTGATTAGACATGGGACTATCAAGGAAATTCTCACTAGAATATGCAGAAATTAGGCCAACTATATGGGTCAACAGCTAAAGGTACTCACCACCCAGGCTGACAAACCTAAGTTCAATCCCAAGGTCTCCCATTATGGAAAGAAAGAAAGAACAGATTCCTACAAGTTACCATCTGACTTCCACTTGTGTGTCATGGCATGTGTGTGCACAAATACACACACACAGAGGGAGAAAGTGTGTGTGTGTGTGTGTGTGTGTGTGTGTGTGTGTGTGTGTGTGTGTGTGTGTAGGATATAATAAAAGTTTTAAATATACATGAACTACAATATTCTCTTGGTGAGATATCCAATCACTGGTTTTCATGTGCAGATTGATCTATATGATTCTTTGCTACTTTGATAAATAATAGATTTCATTGTATTTAAGTATATTTTATAAAATACACAGTTGCAGAAAAATAACATCGGCTAAGTACAGGTAACCTCCTAACCCCTCTGTGTTTCTAGTGTTTGGTAATTAACCAGATATTTTGGCATAATTTAGATAATTGTTTAGGCAGAAAGATAGAAACTAGACACATTTTGAACCAAACATGATTCTTGTTTATCTGGTTGATAGAAAACACAGGAAAGTCTCATCACTAACTTACAAATAAATATGCTTCACATTTGATGTATGTTAAGCAAAGTCAGAACAGTTAGTGATCTTAACTGAATGCAGTTACTTTAATAGCAATCATCAGTAGAAATACCAAACTTTAAATCAAGAAATCAGCTAAAATTTTTTACCTCCTTAAGGACAATGACGTAAGTGATAAAGTTAGAATGTTGTGAGTCACTGAAGATCATCTTTGTTACATAATTCATAATTTGACATTTTGTTTTGAGACAAAGGAGTCTTTCATATCTAAGCTTCAGAAACAAAAAATTTAAATAAGAATCAAAGTAGTCAGAATAATAATTCTGTAACTGTCCTATGGAGAGGGTGGTAATTACCACTGAATCCTGCAGGATTGTCATCTGTATTTAAGTATGTAAGCTGTCCTAGGTCAGCAAGTTAAAGGACAAGACTAAAAAATCCACCCGGGAGCCCTGATGCTGATTCTACTAGAGCGTGGTGTCCTGTGCTGAATCACCTGCCAAGAGCTCAAGCTCTCCAAGCTTTCGTTTTCCTATTTATTCACCAATTGATTATAACTTGCAGTGTTGTTTGGAAAAGAATGAGGTTGACTTGTAAAACTGTAAATTGGCTTATTCAATGATCCAAATAATCATCAGTGTTTAGCTGCTTAAAATTTATTTCAATCTGAGAGAAAACTAAGACTTGATATGAAGTCAGTCTAATCTTTGTGAGAAAAAAAAAGACTATAATGATGGACTACTGCACAAGAATTCATATCATTTATCAAAATAATTTAGGTATGAGGCTATATTTATGTTTTTAGCTAGAAATCTAAAACAAATGTAACAATGCTTCACTCTTATGTAACATTGAACCCTGGAGATGGCAGCACCACAAAATACCATCAAATAAATAAGTAAAGTTGCAATCAACTATTAAAACCCAACTACCCAGTTTCAATTCAGAGAGAGGGGTTCCATAATACTGCAAAAAGCAAATTCTCAACAATACACTTGGCAAAAATTTACAGTCTCACTCTCCATAGAAAAAGGTCACAAGTGACTCCTTGCCAACATCAATAAAATTTAGCCATCAAAAGAATCAAATTGTACTTTAGAATATTCTGCCACTTTAAATTTTTGTTGTCTTTAGTGTGCGTGCGTGTGCGCGCGTGTGTTTGTGTGTGTGTGTGTGTGTGTGTGTGTGTGTGTGTGTGTGCATGCTAGGGCATGCAAGTGGACGTGAGAAGACACCTGCAGGGAGCTGGTTCTCATCCTCCTCCATGTGGATCCAGAAAATAAAACTGAATTCTCGGTCTCAGTGGCAAGCACCTTTACCTGCTGGGACACCTAGCCTGCCCTCTTATCACTTTTTTATAAATATTTGTTGGTGGAACAAATTGTTTCAGAGCAGAGCTCTTTCTGCCTTCACATTCATTTGAGGTGATTTGACCTTTCTGTGCTTGCTCAGGACGACAATCAAGACCAAACCCCTGTGAAAACAGACATACATGCAAAACAACTGTACCATCCCTTGAATCGGGTGTTCTTACCATACATGAAGAATGCTTTCCAAGAAATTCCTTCATACTTATTGACTTCATTCTATAGCTGCTATGTTAATTCACTGTATTAGATACTTTTAAAAACCTATTTTCTGGCCTGGGATGATAGCTCAGGGGGTAAACTCACTTCTCCCACTAGCATCTGGACTTGAATTTAAGTTCCCAGAAGTCACGTAAAGCCGGAATATGACAGCACGGGCCTGTAGTCCCAGGCACCTATAGTGAGCTAGGAGACAGACAGGATAATCCCAGGAGAATAATGGGCCAGCTGGTCTGCTGTGTGCAGGGCAAAACAACAGAGGTACTTTTGTAAAAAGTGGAAGGTGAAATTGGACATTGGGGGTTGTCTCTGACCTCAACCCATGTACTATGGCATGTGCACACCCTTGCTCACATACTAAAATGCACGCACACACAACACAGAAAAAAAAAAAGATTTTAAAATAGTATTTTCTTAAATGTTACATTTCTTTACAATTATGCCATTGGGATTTATGCATTGCAAGGGCTTAACTGTTAGTCATAATACACAGAAACATTTCTTTTTTTTTTTTTTTTTTTTTTGGTTTTTTGAGACAGGGTTTCTCTGTGTAGCTTTGCGCCTTTTCCTGGATCTCGCTCTGTAGACCAGGCTGGCATCAAACTCACAGAGATCCACCTGCCTCTGCCTCCCGAGTGCTGGGATTAAAGGCGTATGCCACCACCGCCTGGCAACCACAAGGCTAAAATTCCTAGTCATATAAGACAAGAAGAGCAGCAAAAAATTCTCTGCAAAATGCCAGCTGAAACTGGTGGGCTTATTTTGGAGCAAGAGATCATCTACTACAAACATCGAAGCAGGAAAGTGATCAAAAAGTATATTTTATTGTAATATTGAGGAAAAGAATTTTTCAGAAGTTGACTTGAATTATAGCTTTGAATAATGTAAGCCTATAACTTTGGTTAAATTTGTCTATAGATGTGATGTACTAAAAAACAAATTGTACTATTTTAAAAGATGATAACTAATTATAGTTCTCTTGTATGCATTTTTTTCTGTCCTGAGATTAACGTGTAAGGATTCACTTTAAGAATGAACGTGGATTCAGTGGCTGGGAGCAGCTTTTCGCTGGAACTGTTTTCACGGTCATCCTGTGGTCCTCAGAAACTGCTGACTGAAACATCCTCCTGGTCTCCTTTAAAGGGGGGACAGATTTTGATAGATAATGTCACACAAAACTAAATGTCCGTTTCAGGAGTTCCATCTCAGTCTTGTGCTTTTTGTTGTAGACAAATTTGTAAAGAATTCCAAGACCTCCTGAGCCAAGACAGATCACCCCTGGGCTCCTCCAGACCCACACCCATTCTAGACCTGGACATCCAGAGGCACTTAACCCATTTCAGGTAAGACGGACTCACCCATGTGTTCAGATTCTAAGTGGCTAAGCCACACCCACGGGCTTCTGTACTGCTTTTGCAGTTCCGGTTAGAGATACACACGTTTGTTAAAATAGAGACTGCTTCACTGTTAGGAATGCTGTAGCAAGACACTTTAGACTGGATGATACACTGATTATATAAATGTATAGTTTAGATTCTGGGGCTTGGAAGGCTGAGAGCGAGGTGTTGGCAGATTCAGTATGTGGCGAGGGCTCTCTCTCTTCAGACCCTTTAACAGCTGTACGGTGTGATGAAACAGGCCAACAATCATCCAGGAGACTCATCCAGGGCAGGAATCCAATCTTCCATGACTTAATTATCTCCCAGGGCTGCTCATCTTAGTATCATAATGGGGTTTAGCTTCAGTGTATGAATTTGAGGAGAGAGAGACACACACAGATATTCAGGCCACAGCAGTAACAGCCTGAATTAGAAAAAAAAAAAAGTAATTGAAGCATTTTAGAACAGAATGTTTAATATCTTTTTGTATTTATCAAGAAACTATGGCTTCATGAAAGTGAATATTAGTAGATCAAGGCATACTAAGAAGTTTTGGACCAGGATTCTGAAATCTTTTAAACAGTTACTTAATGTTGTTAGGGTAAATTGTGTTAAATGAACAGATGTGACTGAACTTAACTAAATATTATTGACTGAATTTTTAGGAGTATATTAATAATTTGTATACACTTAGAAAGTATAGATGGTTCTTAAACACGGGATCCTTAAATGCATTATTAAAGTCATATTTTAAGTTTCAATTTCTGAGATACTTTGGAAATAAATAGAATATTTTTCTGGTAAATTTACTCTCTAGATATAGTAAGAGAAAGAAAATGGTCACTGCTTAGGTTTTTTTTTCCATTTCAAAACTTTAGAATTATAGTGCTATACAATATTTCTCATTCATACAAAATATTTCATCTTTGAGTTATCATTTGATGAAAAATATAAGCAATGTTAATGAAAGATTAATTCACAAGCTGGGATGGTGGGCATGTAATCCCAGTACTTGGGAGGCTGAGGCAGCAAGTATTAAGAGTTCAAATTCATGGGCTACTAAAGAGACACTGTTTCAAAAACGAACAAACAAAAAGTAATAATCATTAGGATTAAAAATGTTTTTAATACCTGCTTAAGTTATTTTCTGAAGGCTGAGAACAATTTATTAGACTTTAAAAAGAAAACCCCAGGGCAGTCAACCTGTGAATCATTAAAAAATATTTTTTATTCCTTTTACCTTTTTTATTGAAAATAGATTTTTCTTATAATATATCCTGAATATGGTTTTCTCTCCCCAAACTCCTTACAGATCCTCCCCACTTCTCCACCTATTCAAATGCACATCCTTTCTCTCTGATTAGAGCACAAACAGGCATATAATAATAATAACAATAAATAAATAAAAATGGAATAGGACAAAACAAAGAAACAATAAAACTTCTTAAGATTATAAGACTTTGAAGATGATACACAAATATCTATATAATAGGGGCTTAAATAATTTTGCCTGCAAAAACGGAGCATTTTTTAAATACAGTATTTTATCTTAATATGTCACAAGTCTACTCAAGATTCAATAAACATATCTTTCTAGATTCTACTTAGGATTTATTTTTCAAACTTGCACCTGACATAGAATGCATTTCTCAGAATTCCATCTGCCTCTCAGTGGACGTAGTATGGTCAAGTGTAATGAAAGTAGGAGAAAATGAAATGTCTAGATATTTCAGAGCACAAGGTTTTCGAATCAAGAGTCGTTTTCAAACCCACGTCTCTGTAGGTGTGAACTGAGTTACATGGGGTAACTTTCAAACCTTTGTTTGGTTCCTTATAGAACCTCTGCACTATCTGTAGTAATGAGACAAGGAATACAAATTTACCACTTAGTAAATGGCGTATTGCTTGCTTCCACCAACGATGCCAGTTTAAAAGGAATTGACACCCTCAGAATTATCTTCATCATTTTGTTTATGCACACATGAAAGGGATTTGGAACTTTTACAGCTGTTAGATTCAGAAGTTAATAGTTTTTTTTATGTAAATTCAAATCGGGGTCTGAAGAAGTTTGTAAAGTTACAAATTTACAAGGATTTTACTGTTAAGAAACAGAGAGTCAAGACCTTACACTGTAAAGATGAGGAGCTTATTTCCCGTTAGGCGTGCTGATATCTTCATCGACAGCGAACTCACTCTTCTGGCCCAGAGCATCATGGGCTTTGCCTGGATTTCTGGCCCCTGGGATGCACTCTTCTTTCTGTGGCTCTGATCGCACCTAAGCAGATTGTACAAGAGGTGTCTTTTGTAACTAGTTATTTAATCAGGCACAACTCACCTCAGGTACATCAGTGTTGCTAAATATGCCGTCACCACCTTCCCTTTAAGACCATGAAATACTGCAGTGTTGAGTGTAAAACCCGCATCTGTTATATGTGTTACCTACTGACAGAAATGTGGGGAACAATGTTTCACAAAGCTTTGCATTTCTCAGCATCCTCCCCAAAGCCTCCTGTTGACTTAAAAAAAAAATAGTAATGACCAGCTTTCACTGCACATTTGATTTGCATCTTCTTAATGACCAATGAGTTCGAACATCTTTTCGTAAGTTTGTTAGCTATTTGTCACAGACTTGTATTCAATAGTCTCGGGTTCCTCATTGGATTATTAGATTCTGTGCTGAGCTGTAGTACTTCGTTGTTTATTTTTACATTAACCTTTTCAATGATATATTAGACACACAATGTACAAATTCTTATCTTCCTAAGGTCGTTTTTTCACTCTGTTGAATGTGGGTCTTTGAAGCAAATTTTTTTTTAATTTTGGTGTAGATTGATTTGTGTGTTATTACAATGGTTTCTGTGCTTCTGTGGTACATCAGAGAATACTCGCTAAATCCAGGGTCTTGAAACTTCCTCCTATGTTGTCTTCTAAGAGTTTTACAGTTTTAGCTCTTGTATTTAGGTCTTTGATCTATTTTGTGTTAATTTCTATAAGTAACTTAGAGTGTGCAGCTTCATTCTTTCCCATGTCAAAGTAATATCATTTTAAACACGGCTGTCATTTTCCATTAAAACCCAGATTGAAGCCTCCTGATGAAGCTTCAGTGGAATTTACGTGTACTCACTGTTTCATTTTGCATGTATTTTTAAAGGCAACAATAACATATTTTAACAAGAGGTTAGTAAATGTAGGCTCATTGATCAGTCTTGAAAAGACTACATGGTTTATAAACATGGTCCTTAAACTCGGCCTCATAGAAAAATTACCACTGAATCTCCTTTAAAAACCTCAAGGATTAGAATCAGTATGTCAAATAATCGGACTCATGGATTTATGTTATTTTTCAAATTCTGATAGCAAGGTTTGAGAAACATAGTCCTTAGATGTTCCTAGGCTTTCAGCATTTTCTTTCATACTTTGAAAGAAATATGATTCTGATGCATTTTTAAAAATTTTTTGGCCGGGCGGTGGCATACACTTTTAATCCCAGCACTCGGGAGGCAGAGCCAGGCAGATCTCTGTGAGTTCGAGGCCAGCCTGGTCTACAAAGCGAGATCCAGGACAGGCACCAAAACTACACAGAGAAACCCTGTCTCAAGAAACAACAACAACAAAAAATGTTTTGTGTGTTGTGTGTCGTATTTTATTTAATATGCATGTATGTGCACATGCTACAGCGTGCATAGAGGTCAGAGGACAGGTTGCCGCAGTCAGTTCTCTCCTTCTACCATTGACTCCTCAGAATGGAAATCAGGCTTGGCAGCAGGCACTTTACCTGCTTAACCATCTTTCTGGCCCGTGAATTCACTTTTCAAAAGAGACAGTAAAAATGGCGGTGTGGATTTGTGTCTTGGAGAGCAGTATCTTTAAAAAGTTCTTTATATATGATTCTGCTAATAGTCTGGGTAAAACTGCACTAGACAAGTGTGTCTCTTTCGTTGCTTTTTGCTGAGAGCGGTAACTGTGATGGAAACAGGCTCAAAAGGAAAACACTGCAGCCTGCACTGCAGTGAACGCAGGCAATCTGCCGAGTCTGATTTTCTGCTAGTTTTGCTGAGTACTGGCTAGGAAAGGAGCGAAGAAAGAGCATGATTGGATAGGCATAGAGGATTCTGTGATTAGGAACATTCACCTGCGTTACCATTTTGTGTAATCAAAGTCTTCGTAGAGCAGGGCATTGATACCTTATTGGATTATCGACTCGGTATCTCGAGAGCTCTGGCTTGCTCTCAACAGACTGAATGTATCTAGACAAAGATGGGGAGTGATCTGGCCCTGCTAAGTACAGAAACTATGTCTAGTTTTCACGGCAGATGACATATTGTGCTCTGGAAAACTGTGACAATAACAGTGACCGCTCTTAGGACGCACAGCCTTCGGAGACACTTGTTTCCATCAAAATGACAGGAGGCAGATTTATTTATTATTTATCACTTCCTAAGTACCACCAGCAGTGAGAATTGTCATAGAGAACACAGCAGACACCACAACATCTTCCGGAAAGGGAAGCAATTTGATTGAAATCTGCGGACTACTCCCATGGACTCCCTGTCTCCAGACCTGGTGATGTCAATTAGTGTAAGATGGGATAAGGCTTCCAGGAGAGGGCACACCCTTAAGTCAAAACCACAGCCCTAATTTTCTGAACTCATGGCCAAAGAAATTGTAACACTGTCTCCATTCTTTGTGTCTCATATTCTTATAACCTCCTTGAATATGAGGTCACAGGAGCACATGTGTTCATATAAATAAGAAGTTAGAACACCATTAATGATCAACTCAGAGAGGACAACCTGTCAGAAAAATGAGGAAGATTCTTCCTCAGCACCGACCTTGGAAAACCTAAATGTTAGTTGTCTCTTTTGTTTCACTGTGCCAATGGATAATAGTGTGAGGATGAAGGATCAGCACATTCTTCAGGAACTTCTAAATTAATGGAAAACAATATTATTTCATACAAAGCT